CTTGACCGAATTACACATTTTGGCGCAAAGCTCTCTGCCCAACCATCTGGCAGCAGAGCTTTTTGGTCCCTTACCAAAGCTGTCGAGACGAACTTCTCTCGGCCCTCACTGCCACCGCTGGTAAAATCTGACGGATCCCTAGCTCATACGGCAAAGGAAAAGGCGACTTTGCTTGCCTCTCTTTTTGCCCAAAATTCGTGTCTAGACTCTGGCAATGCAACTCCACCACATCTACCTCACTGCGGGATATCAATGCCTGAAATTGCGATTACTAATAAAGAGGTTAAAAGAGTATTGTGTCGTCTAGATGTGAATAAAGCCAGTGGTCCTGATGGTATACCAGCGATAGTCCTTAAAACATGTGCTCCCGAGTTGTCTCCGATACTGACACGTCTGTACCGCCTCTCTCTTAAGACTGGAATAGTGCCTAAATCCTGGAAGCTTGCCAATGTGCAACCAGTGCCCAAGAAAGGAAGCCGTGCTGACCCTGCCAATTATCGTCCGATCTCAATCACCTCCATACTCTGCAAGATTATGGAGCGTGTATTGAACACTCGTCTTATGGCACACCTAGAACAGAACGATCTCCTCAGTGATCGACAATATGGGTTTCGCCGGAATCGGTCGACTGGGGACCTTCTAGTGTATGCCAACCACACCTTTGGCGAAACTATTGACAGAAGCGGGGAGGCGATTGCCGTCTCCCTCGATGTCTCAAAGGCTTTTGACAGGGTCTGGCACGCTAGCCTTATAAATAAGCTTTCAGCCTATGGCATATCTCCTGGCCTGATCGGCTGGATTAAAGACTTCCTGAGCGACCGATCACTCAGAGTTGTGGTTGATGGTTGTTCATCACAACCCTTAAAGACCAACTCAGGAGTTCCTCAGGGGTCTGTCCTCTCTGCAACCTTGTTTCTGCTGCATATCAACGATCTGCTTATACCCGGTATCTATGGGTACGCAGACGACAGCACTATTGTAGAGAGATACCTGCCGAATCCTCGGGCCAGTAGAGATCAAATTCAGTCCGAAAGAGAGGCCATGGTAGAGCGGTTGAATCTCACACTCAGGACAGTCTCCACTTGGGGCGATGCCAATCTTGTGAGTTTCAATGCCACCAAAACACAGGCGTGCCTGTTCACCACTAAAAGGAGTCCTTTCACCTTGACTCCTACTTTCCGGAATGTGCCTTTGGAATACACAGAACGTCTGCAGTTGTTAGGGATGGACATCAGCCCCAACATGAACTACGGGCGGTTCATCGAGTCTAAGGCTAATGTAGCTGCGAGGAAAGTTGGCATCCTTGCAAAGGTCCGACAGTATTTCACGCCGGGACAGCTTCTTGTTTTATATAAAGCGCAAGTCCGGTCGTGTGTGGAATACTGTAGCCACATATGGGCTGGTGCTGCGAAATGCCATCTGTCAGCCTTGGACTCGATTGAGAGGCGTGCTCAAAGGCTTATAGGTGACCCTACGCTGGTAAAAACTAACCTACAAAGCCTCGATCACCGACGTAGGGTTGCCAGCCTTTGTGTATTCTATAGGTTACATTTCGGAGAGTGTGCGCAGGAACTACATGAATTAATTCCCCCATCCCCTTTCCATCATCGGACAACCCGACGAACGGCTGGTCTCCATCCTTATGTCGTGGACATTCCACCCGTCCGCACGAAGCGCTTCGCTACGTCATTTATTATACGTACGGCTAAGGATTGGAACAACCTGCCTGCGTCGGTGTTTCCGACCGATTATAATATGGGTGTCTTCAAGGCAAGAGTGAATAGGTGGCTACTGAATTAGTGCGACTCACCATCTACGACTGCGTTACCACTTACCATCAGGTGGAACGTAGTCAAGCACTAATTCTGAATAGTATAAAAAAAAAAAAAAAAAAAAAAATGTATATATATAGGTATGTGTATCTGTGTAAGTATATGTATATGTAGCTATTAGTATAAACATATATACTTATGCATTTTTCTCTATTATTTACACCCCTTCCCTCTTGCAGTTTGCTATATCCTACACCTAAAGGTTGCCTGGAAGAGATCGCTGTTTTAGCGATAAGGTCGCCTCTTGTACATTTCTACTCTGTGTTTATTTATTTTTCTTTTATTCTTGGTGTACAATAAAGAGTTTATTATTATTATTATTATTCTCTAGTACATTGCTTAGATGTATCTCTAGCCAGCGTTAGATATATATAAATTTCTAAGAACGACTCGATAGAACCAGTTGTTGTGTTTTCCCGTGGGTATGAAAGATTTTTCTATTGTAAAAGGTATCCTCCATGTTGACCCGAGTAATAGGTTATCACTAACAAAATTTAGTTAAAATCGGTCCATTACATACTGTGTGAAACGCGCACATCGATTTTGAAGTTACTGTTTTATATTATACAAGCTAGTCTAGTCTAGCCTTCGCTTCGCTCGGGTTCGTCCCTAGCTTGCTTCCCCATACAAACCTTTATCCCCATTTCCACCCCCTTAAGGGATGATTTCCGGGATAAAAAGTATCCTATGAACTTCTCAGGGTCTCAAACTATCCCGGGGGAGAAGCCAACTCCTACCGGGCGCGTCCCCAGGTGGCGGATAGGGGAATGCCACCCGCTTAGGGCGGCGGGTGGTACCGGAGAAATCCGGCGCGGACCAAATGGCTTGGGTGGGGCCGCTCGTCTAGGACTCGAGCCGAAGACGTTGCGGCCACCGGTGGTGGGACCGCTTGGTCCCACAACCGGATGATGGGTGCCGTTTGCGGGACTGTGGTCGCAGGCCCGCATCCGGCGGAGGAGTAGGCCGCGGCGGGAGAGGAGTGCCGGTATTTCGGTGCGCCGTTCTCCCTACCTTCCGCGGCCTAGACGGGGCCGCCACCGTTTGATGGCGGACGAGGTGGGGCTGCAGGAGAAGAGGAGTGTCGGTGTTACGTTGCCGCTCTCTCTGTCCTCTGCAGCCGATTGGAGGTGGCCCACTTCGGTGGGCGGTGGTTAGGTTTAATAGGGCTGCTCCGGGTACCTCTCTGGCGTAGCATAGTTGACTGTGCAGCAGCCCCATTGGTTTGGTGGTCTGCCTAGCGCTTAGGCAGACCTGCCGCCGGGGCGCCGTAGTAGTTATGCGCAAGCGATCCTGCGGCGTCCCATTAAGGCGGAGGGGAGGAGAATGTCGGGTTTTAGTGGGTAGTACCGGCTCTTCTAGCCGGTGAGCCCCACATCACCACCTGGGGGATCAGGTGGTATGCGTAAATGCATTTCCCGACATAAAAAAAAAAAAGGGTCTCAAACTATCTTCTTACGAATTTTTTTCTAAATCGGTTCTGTAGATCCAGAGATTACTCCCTACAACGTCACAAACTCACAAACTTTACCTCTTTATAATATTAGTATAGATGTATAGATTTAATAACTTTATAGATTAGGTACATTTTATATGACCAAACAATAGTTATTTACCAATACTAATAATTCAGACCATTAAATACTGTGTGATCTTCTAATGACGTACCAACAAGATAACGAGCTTTATCAGATGAAACATACATATGTACAATGAGAAAGATATTTCATAACAATAAATAATACAAAAAGTTAACGACTCGACTTCAGTTTACTTTATCAACGTGAATTGGTAGATTTTTTTATTTTAACAAATTTAAAAGTACGCTGTATAATGTTTTCTTATTTAATTTATTACGAGAAGTAATAAATTAAATAAATTAAGTGAGATTAAATTATTTATCTAAGCATTTAAAATATTCTTGATTTTTAGAACTTAATATTCGTAAAATAACCATAAGTTTCTCTAATAAGCACCACGTTTTTACAAATAAGTAAGTTTCCTGATAAGGCTCACTTTTTTACAAATTTCATTTTAGGAAAGGATTTTCATTTATAAAAAGTATGGAGGATATAATTGTACTAATGTAAAATAAAAGCATTTTGCAAAACTAATGTGTTGAGAATATTATTATTATTGTTTGGCGCGATTTACTCTAACTTCACTCGGGTACTTTTTAAGTTTTTTGAGTGGGTCCCTAATTCTTTTTCTACAGTAAAAGTAGCCTTAAAACATCAGCTATCTACCAGTGAAAGTCCCGTCAAATTCAGTTCAGCCGTTTCGGAGATTCGCGGGAACAAACAGACAGACAAAATTTTAAGAATTGAGATTATCTTCTAAGTACTGTATATAACTTCATATGCATTTAGTAAAAAACTGTTATTTTGACATTACAAACAGACACTTCAATTTCATTTATCTGTTTTTCAAGTGTCATGCACGGGAAGTATGAAATATCATGACGAATCAAAACGATGAATTTCCAAATCAACAAGGTGAATAAGGAAAATTGTTATTACTGGAAATGTTATTGTTAGTTTTTAATTGTAATCTTTTATAATACGAAATTTATACATATTTAGGTGTAGGTTTATATTTCTTGCTCTTTCACGCTAAAAAGCCTGAACAGATTTTGATGAAATTTAATACACAGACTATGAAGTTACACACATACTGTTCATGTCCCGAGCGAAGCGACTCGTTGCTTTAAAATACATATATATATTTTAAATTATTTAGATGTTTTTTAAGTATTCTAATAAGTTACTTTTTATTTTTTTAATATTATTTTGACAGAGTTTCTGTATATAATAATTTTGTGTTGAATATGATTGAAGCTAATAACATAAATTTAATAAATTTAAACAAAATACATTCTGAACATGTAACATTTTATATTGTCCAAGATATCAGCAAATATTCTATTTTATTTTATGTAATGTTATGCATTTTCCTCGTGTGTGTACTTGTTGAGAGGACATGGGTCGAGCGCTATCCAGTTCACAATGTTCCATGGACTCATAAACACTAAACAATGAAAAGTGTATTGATAATAAAAAATATTTTCAAGTCTCGATAGTGATGTGAATGACCTTTAAATTAAAAGAAATTTCTAGATCCGATTTATGACAATTAATTTTATTAGATTTTGTGTGAAATTGAATCGTCATAATGATTAAACGTAAGTTTTTATATTTCATTTTTTGTAATATCTATTTTTATTGTCAGTTTTATAATATTATTGTTAAGTTAGTGGGTTTTTTTCTTCTATATTTATAATAAAATATATTAATGATAATTCTAGAGCATTATCAATAATGTTTTATTTGGCCGACACTGCTATGCCTACAATGTTGTTTATTTTGACATTAATTAAAGCTCTTTCCCTGATAAAATAATTTTGCCTAATTAAATGATTATGTTTTATTAATTATTAAATAGTTGAATATACATACATATCTTTTTAAAGTAGTAAATGAAATTTTGTTTTTAAGTTTTTTACTTTAAAAGGTTTCTGTGTACTTTGCAACGATTTTTGCTTTATTATAGGTACTGTACGTCCATATAAATTTAAGTTAAAATATAAGTGTCAGCCGATGCAAAGCAAATCTATGTATATTTCGATACGTAAAATATATCATAAATTGATATATAATATTTTAACTATATTAGAGTTCATACCTAATCGTATTATTTTACCTATTACATATTTATATCTTAAAATATTATCGGCTGGCACCGACTTCGAAAATATCTGATTAGGTATCTATCCTAAAGGAAAACCCCCGTTTAGATATTTTTTACATGTTAGTGTCTGGAAGTCGTTTTTTTTTAATTTACTTGTCTTTTTTTAGTGTAGACGTAATAAGCAGGTAATTTGTAAGAAAGTTTTTTAATAACATATTCGATTAAGCAATTTATTTTAAAAAATAATTTATTGTTGATTTGTTTTAAAAACCGCTCGACCGATTTTGATAAACTTAAATACCTGTGAACAAAAAACACCTTCGAAACAAAAAAAAATCCAAATCGGTTCAGGCGTCTTCGAGTAATCGGATAACATACCTACATAAAAAAATACTAATTTTAAAAACAAGTTCCAGATTTATTGAATAGAAATGTAATAAAAATCTTAGTAAAAAAAAACAAAAAAACAACATTCCTTGAAGTTAAATACAAAAGGGCAAGAAAATAAAAATAAAACTATAAATTAAAAAATAATAATAATAATATGACAGTTTTATTTTTGCCGTAAATGTTAAACATATTGTAGATATATGTACATACATCGTCAATATGCAGATTACTGGACTTTGTATTCCTGTGCATAAGATGTTGTTACATCGACTCGATAGCCTTGCGATATAGATTAAGTTTACATAAGTATATTTATATTAGTTACCTATACCTATATGTATATGTACATTAAAGTAATATCAAAACCGGGTTCATAAATTATAGACTGTTTATTCGCCCTCGCTTTGCTTAGGTAACTTTTGAAAAATTTAAACTAATAGTTCATTGGAAGGAGATGATGTGGGTACTGGAATAAGTCGTGGCGCGGGGCTCTGGAAATCCAGCCAAGCGTAAAACCAGAAAACTTACTGGGTGGCCTACGGCTGACGGTATACCATGCGGGTTAGTCCTGGTCTTTCTCTGATACCAGAGTGGTTTGTGGAGAGTATTAAATGCTATGTAATATATGCTTTCTGTACTTAAGTATAATTTTATATTCGATTTACTATATTTGTAGGGTATATATTTAAAACAAAATAAGGTTTTTAATCTTCAAAAAAAATGATCATCCTCGTTCACAGACGGACTGCGTCCACAAGGATATAAGTTCTAAGTTCATGCCATTCATTAAAATCCTGTCCTTATACCCTCCACCTTTTGCCCCTGACTCTCGACACGTCTCGCTGCAAAGCACCAAAATTTTCATTCACCACTTGGTGAATGAAAGTTGAACTTGGTGCCTTTCTCCACCTGCCATCGTCGTGTCTCACCATACCAGCCCAGCTTAATCTCAGCTCCAGAATGCGATCAACAACGTCTCTGACTTTTATTCACAGTCGAACGTATCCTGTAACAATTATAACTGATATTATGTGCATATTTACTACATATAATTATCATAGCAATATTATTTAATAATTGAAATGAATTAAATAATCAATAAATATTAAAGGAACTGCTTACTGCGTAAGACGCATACCGTACATATAAATAGCTTTTGCCTACAAGATGACATCAAATAAAATACCTACTACAACATGTACGAGTATTATACGTGTACTGTTCTCATATAACGCATTCAATACACAAGTTTCTATTAACGCTTATTGCAAAGTAAATTGGCGACAAGGCTAAACAAAACAAATTGACTTTAATAAATAAGCAGACATATAAATAATGAATCTTAAGTACGCCTGTATCATATCTATTACTCACTATATCTAAATGAAAAGAGTTTTAGGGCAAAATAAATGGCCAATAAGTTCATTGGTTCCTATCCCGTATCAAAAAAAATGTATTCTGCTTGAATTTGTACAATTATCCGGGATAAAAAGTAGTCCATATCACGTGCCAAAAACTTACTACATTTTCAATCCTACGTGAACCCTTTTATTTACCCGTATAAAATTATCCTATATGTCACATTCAACCAAATCCTTTATCGTAGGGATAGTGTTTGAATACCGAAACATATATTTTTGTTATCAGTAGTTTAAGCTTTGGTATTGTGAAAATAATCATAATATAAGCCCACTGTCCTTTCTATAGTCTTTATATGATATACGCATAAACAAGGAAATTCAATTTAAAATTATAAGTTATTAATTTAGTTGCCATACCTACAGCACACGCTAAAAAAAATTGGAATTACTGTAACACAAATGCTTACATATATATATGCTCAATGTACATAATACACGTATATGGTATATACATAACATAATACGTAAATTGTATCGTAATATTATTTTAAAATTAGACAGGTAGTTCCAGAGATAAACGTGTTCAAACAAACTAAAAGACAATTTCATTAGCTTTATTATACCTATAAATATATACCTGCATACATCTAGAACTACACTACAGTCAACGTCATACAGTGAAACATTAAAAAGGTATATTCATCGTCGTGTATAAAGGAAGTGCAATGATCCCAGATAAGTTATCTCAGGGCCTTGGCTTAGGGTATGGGAAAAATTATAGTAAACTGTGCCAAATAGCAGTAGTACCTTCTAGTGTTAATTTGGAAAAAAAAAAAACAAAAAATAACACCCGTAGATTTTTTAGTTCCCGTAAAGAAATTTATTATGTTACCTTAAAATCATTTCATATCGATTAATTATCGTTTACAGACTTCACTATAAGGAGTGAAGAAGAAACATTCCTCGTATGTAAAAATTATATAGGGCCGTTGCCAAAACGCAAAGTCGGAAGTACCTTTATAATTCTGAACCATCATCATGTCTGTTTGTCACAGCCGTACTCGTAAATTATTGGAAGTACATGATACTCAATAAATAGGCGCCAGCTAACAGTTTCCAAGTTACACCTACATATGCTTCTAAAGACGTAAACATTGTGCCCCTTCCTTTAACTTTTAAATTCTGGGAAAAAATGGTATAGTAGAGCTCCCACAATACTTTTAACAAAAAATATTTTGAAGAAGACAGGTTCAGCAGTTTGATAGATAGAGATATGTTTTTTTTTTCTTAGATATAGGTACTATGAAATATAATTTTCTTTTTCGAGTCGATAAAATTAAAATTGTAGAGGAATAGATACTTTATTTTTCTTTTAATGTAATAAATTTAAAAATGTTATATTTCATGCAATGGAACGATTGGTTTGCGAGTTATACTCGCACTTGCTCGATTTGTTTATATCTATATGTACTAATATTATAAAGACATAAAGTTTGTGACTTTGTGAGTTTGTAGGGGGTATCTCTGGATCTACTAAACCGATTTAGATGACATATGGTAAGAAGATAGTTTGAGACCCTTGAAAGGACATAGGATACTTTTTATCACGGAAATCATCCCTTATGGGGGTGAAAATGGGGATGAAAGTTTGTATTAGGAATCAAGTATTTTATATTTTCGCTATTGGGGTGTGCTATTAGTTCATTGTAAAATGTCATTAGAGAAGCTTATGACTAGTATTAAGAGATTGTAAATAGTCACAGCTGATAAGGCTAATCACACTTTATTGATCCTCATGCAAGTGATAACACAAATAGAGCTCAGTCTCTCGTGAACGTTTGTCGGAGCAACTCACTTTAATTTTTATTATCGTTCAAGTAAGTTATATTTTCTAATATTTACGTTTAATAAACAATAAATAAATCATACTTAGCCTAAATTAAAAATATTTATTACACGGACTTTAAAAATATTATTCGTCAAAGTTTATTTTTCTCGTTTTTCTTAATTTAGTGAAAAAATATCGATTACGCAAGGATTTTTATAACACATATACATATATATGTATATTTTTACACAAGTTTGGTAATATAGAATACATTTTTTAAGAAAATTTTTACAAATACTTCATATGGAAAATGAATATACGAGTAAATCTTCAATATGTACTTAAGCAATCAATATGTTCCAATGACAAAAACCAACGACAGACACAGCTTGCTAATAATATAGTACCTACTATATTTTATTCTATTTACTTAGTGTCACTATTCGCTTCAAATTTATGGTACAACAGCTAGACGTTATTGTTATTTTCAGACATTCAGTATTTTCATAAACGTTAAATAAACACCAAATAACTTTTTAAAGAAGTCAATATACTGGCTTGCTGTTCTTTCACGCAAAACAAGGCAATGGATCGATAGGATATTAGACCTAGTAACATATAATAGCTAAGCTTATAAATAACAAAGTTTGTTGCTTATTTTGAATTAAGTTTGTTCCTCCTAAAAAAGAAAATTTTAGTAAGTAGTAACCATCGTGTAAAATTTATACACGTAGATAACTTGCTGTGTACACACAAAATATACATACTAATTGAAAATATCCTTTTTAAAATCGGTCGAAAACTAACATTTTATTATTTTTTTTATATTTTTAGTACTTTCATTAACGTAAATAATTTAAACGTAGAAAGAAAGCATTTATTACAAGTACGTAAATGGGTTTTATGGAATATTTCATAGTTTTTAATAACAACTTATTTTGTTTTAGTAACTTTAAAAGAAGCAATGAAGATTGGATTCATTGGAGGTGGTAGACTAGCATATGCTTTAGCTAATGGCTTCATATCAGCAGGTACGTTAAACAAATAATCTTGTATTTAGTTTAATTTTAAACTTAGTTCCAATTCAGTGCAAAATATATTTTATACAAAAAAATTGAAAGGATTTTTTTTACTTCAAAACACAAATCAAAACTAAATAATACCAAAGTATAAGAATAAGACGATAGCCATATAAATAAAAACTAAAAAAAGCCGGTTAAATTCTATTAGGTATATTATGCTATTAGTGAATATAAATTAATAGATATGTCACAAAACATACGATTTTAGTTGTTTTAGTCTAAATGGCTATAATGAACCGACTAATTTTTTTACAGGATTAGCAAAACCTGATGAAATTACAGCAAGTTGTCATCCATTGGATATTGCCAGCGCTGAAGCATTTAAGGTATGTACTTAAGCTTCACCCGAGTAGGTATGTCTAACTACTATCCTAAAGGAATGCATTAATTAGTAGAGTACAGCGTGGGAACAACTTGGCTGCTGTGGTCTGCTTTGGCAGACCTGCCGTCAGGGCGACGTGGTTGAGTGCGTAAGCGATCCTGCGATGCCCCATTAAGACGGGGGAGGTTTTAGTTGGATTTTAGTGGGTAGTACTGATTTTTCTAGCCGGTGAGTCCCACATAACCACTTGTATATATATGCAGGTGCTATGCGTAAATGCATTTCCCTCAACATAAAGAAAAATGGTATATGGTTAAAGAATGTACCGATTCGGCTGCATATTTTAATTTCCAACTAAAATAAGCTACTTAAATAATAATTCTATCTGGCTAACATAAACAACGGAAAAATATAACTTATTTTTTTCAATAAAAGTCAAAGGCAAAGAAAGGTCTTTGAATATTTATTTTTATAATAATATTTCATTCATTATTATAAATAAGCAAATAGCGCAATTGTGTTACAACTTACAAGATGTGTTATATTAATAATTATCATTGTTTACTGATGTCACCCTCACATGGCCTTGACTTTGGTTGAAGTACTGATAAGATAATACGTGCATTGTACTGGACTTCATAATTAAGATTGGAACGTTACTGGAAAAACATAGAGCTTTTTTGAATGAAATTAAATTCGAATATTATTTTTGTAAAGATCATAAATCGCCAAAAACAGCAGTTTATTAAACTATTTTTTCTTTTAGGTAGAAAATCTCGAGAACTACTGGTCCAAAAAAGATTTTAAATATTTTTGGTGTGAAACTATCTAAAAAATAAATCATATGATTAACTGAAAACGTTAATGTTTAAGCTTTAACTTTATTTAATAGTTCAATTTTATTCTTAAATTTTAACAAATTTAAGTGTCGCCTGGTCCGTTATACACAGACGAGAGACTAGTTTCAGGCAACGAATGAGAAAAAATACTTTGATAAATATTATACTTTTTAATCAGTGAAAAATCATATCATACTGCTTATTTCTTTATGAAATTTATTTACCCACGAGTGAGTGACACAGAGCATAAAATCTTTTTAAAGTAAAACTGAAATTTAAAATTTGTAAAATCCGAAAAGATAGTTTTATTTTAAAATGAAAATAAGTTTTATAATAATTTCCAGGGTCTTGGAGCAACAGCCGTATTCGAAAACATACCTGTAGTGGAACGGTCAGAGGTTGTAATCGTCTCAGTCAAACCGGATGTTGTAGTGAAAGCTCTGTCAGATGTCAAAAATCTACCAGCTTCCAAGAATAAGCTCTTCATATCTGTTGCTATGGGAGTGTCTACAAAGACTATTGAAAATGTAAGTTAAATTTATATGATTTTGATATTGTTTAATTAGAAAATATTTTTTATTAAAATTCAATTGAATTGAATTAAATTAATAAATAATATTCTAATGATATTATGCTTTAATATAGTAATTTATGTGAAACTCTTTACCAATACGTTAAATTCATAGAAATCAGGATATAGTACGTTAAATCAGCAACCTGGACACTTACATATATATATTTACATGTTTCTACAATCTACCACAACATCTACGCTACGTTGATAACTAAAATAATTATTAGACTAAAAATTGATCAATCTGCTTTTCATAATTGAGAAACTTCTTACTTACGAAACGTCATACATTAAATATTTAGATACTCTCGTTTCACGTAACTCTAAAGTAAATGCTTGGTATAAAGTATTATCTACAAATGATTCGAGTAACAACTCTTGACAGGCACTACCGCAAGAGGCCCGAGTGATACGAGTAATGCCCAATACTCCAGCATTAGTTAAAGAAGGGGCTGCAGCATTAAGTCGAGGATCTAAAGCCACAGAAGAGGATGCTAAGATTACATCAGAACTGTTCAGAGCTGTAGGCACCTGTGATGAAGTGCCCGAATACCAGATGGATGCTGTAACTGCTTTAAGTGGTAGTGGACCGGCTTATGTAAGTATTGTATTAAAATACAGAATAAGGCTACAAATGGACCTAGAACGAGACCGTGTACTTTTACAAATGCCCAATTAGGTACTTCCATGACCAACATAAATGCATCGTATAGATATATACCATTTCCATAGACTACCAATCTGCTGACAAGGTAATTGCATGGAGGGTGCTGGACGTGACATGTGTGAGGCGCTCCCAACATGTCGCACATACTTTTATATAGCAGTCGGAAGACGAGTTAGGGTTGACCGGTATAATTATCATCTTATTAATTGGACGTAGTTATGCAAAAGCCCCCGAAAACCGTTTCTTGAGTTACTGTCTGAATGGCACTCACGTATCAACTTATATACAAGAAAGTAGACAAATAACCAATATTTAAGAAGAACTTCCAAAAAAAACTACGGTCGTATTATTTGGATATAAGAATTTTACTAAAAACTCATATTGTCACAAAATATAGTTTTTGTGGTTGGATCTATTTATATAACTACTTCCAATTTGTTTAAAGCATTTATATTAAAGATGTACCGACGGCCGATTAGTCGGGGAAGCCGACTATCCAGCCATATTTATATTATTATATATATTCGGTGACTAGTCAACGACTAGTCGACAAAAAGCACCGACTAGTCGGACCATTACTACATTCATATTCTATTCTTAAAATAATATTGACATGAAATTTATTATTATTAATTATTATTATATTTTAATATCAGTCTTATAAGGCAATATAAGGAAGGAAAAAAAGACTTAGTAGGTACTACATTTATTTACAGGTAAATACGCAGGTCTCCCTTCAATATGAGGAGATCAGGCCATAGGTAGTCCACCACGCTAGCCAAATGCGGGTTGGCGGACTTCACATGTCTTTTGAAAACTTGCTAGGTTGTCTCAGATATGCAGGTTTCCTTACAATATTTTCCTGCAATAATCATGTTGGAAATGATTCGCACATAAAAATATCAGATTTGCGAGACCCGGGATTTGAACCTGTTTTACTCAGTTTCCCAAGTCAGCGCGTTACCACTGGGCTACCACTATCTCTGTAATCTGTATATCTGTGGTAGAGTTGAAAGTATTTACTATGTTGTACAATATAAATAATAGAATCAATATGTAAGTCATAAATATATTATAAAGACAATACAATAATATTAATCTAATTAGAATTTAAATATTATTATTGATATAGAAAACTAGATAAATGATAAGAAAACTAAGCGTCATTATTCATTAAGAAGTTAGTTGCGTTAAAAAGTAATACTTTCCTTTAAATAAATCTTTTACGCGAATATATATTTAACATGCAATTCTATTTCTTGATCAACAAGTGATAAATTAAAAATTTAAAACCCCCCCGACCATCTTGGGCCGATTTTCATCAAACATAGCTAAGAAAACTCCCGACTAATTCACCTTCCAAACAATAAAAAATCAAATTCAAAATCGGTTCATCCGTTCGGGAGCTACGATGCCCCAGACAGACACAAACACAGGCACGTCAACCTTATAACACCCTATCATTTTTGGGCCGGAGGTTAAAAAGAAATTACATTAAAAAATATTGATGTAGGTTTCATTCAAAAGCAATAAAGATTATAAAAAAAAATTAACCTTTATCACATGCATATTCCCTATTTCCAGGTATACATGCTAATAGAATCGTTAGCGGATGGCGGAGTCAGGTGTGGCTTGCCTCGGGACTTGGCGCTTCGATTGGCGACGCAGACGACCTTAGGTGCAGCCGCGATGCTACGTACCGGCGGCCATCCTGCTGCTATGAAAGATAATGTGACATCTCCAGCCGGATCCACTGCTGAGGGAACTTATCATTTGGAACAAAATGGTAATTATAGAAGTTCTATTTATTTATGTATATTTAAAAAATAAAACTATCTTTTCGGATTATTTCGGGCATTCATTTTGATTTTTGGTTTCCACTCAAAAATCAAAATAAATCCGCTATGGGAAAATCGTTTTGGGAACCAAAATTAAAATAAATCCGCGAAATAATCCGAAAAGATAGTTTTATTTAAAATTTCAAATATTCGCGTAAATAAGAAAGTATTAAGGCATTTATAATTCGAAAAATTTTATGTGTTTGTATGTTTATTATTCCTAACACTGAAACAGTTAGATGGATGTGATTAAATTTAGTGTATAACTATGACCTGGATCAACACATTATCACTCTTAGGTACCTGACATGATAGTATAAATGAAGCCGTTTAAGTAGGTAGTAGGCAACCCTCTCTATATTAAGATTACGTTAATATCGGCTCGTAAAAAATTACAATTAATCAAAATTAAATTACAACTAATTAAATTTAGTGTGACTTCAAAATCACATTAAAAATGTAAATATAAACAAATAAAAGTACCTACTTTCTAAATAATGTTGAGTCCGGTTCACAAATAAACACTCAAAATTATGTACGTCAAAAAGATCCGTAATATATATTTATAATGTTTAATTATTTTTGTTTCCAGGCTTTAGATCAGCAATTATAGGCGCTGTGATGGCAGCCTCAAATAGATGTAAGGTTGTCAATGACCAACTCAACCAATGAAGAAACTTGTTTATATCTGTAATAAATAAATACCTATTGATATAATAATCTTAAATATCAAGATTCTCTAAGTTGATATTTTTGTAATAGAGCATTTAAAATTTATTTTAAAATATAATATCTATTCCAAAATATATCTAAGTGGTTTTATTTTAAGTATCAAATCCGATTAATTACAAGAAGTACGAGTATATTTAATTCAATATAATATTTTCTATCTATTAGAATGTAGGGATATAATTTTTTTAAGTAGACGTAGATGGTGAAAGTGGAAAAACGCTGTACTAAAAAGTTAAAGCGCTCTAGCACGGTAATGTAATGCATAAACATTACCGTGGCTGTAGTAAGGCACTAAAGTCTAAAACTCTCGTGACAAATTACGAGTACAGTTGTCTCCCTTAATCCTGAAATCATTTCCCGACTGTCATATAAAGGTAATGTAATGTAACCTATGACAATCGGGAGCGCCTTTTTCTGGCCCTGCATTGAATAATAAACTGTGCTAATATTATAGGCATTCCTGAAGAATCACTTGATGTATAGAACAAAAGGTAATTATAATATAACAAAACAAAAACAAATCTATTCCTCGGGAACCTTAAATTTTTCCGGGATAAAAAGTAGCCTATGTGTTATTCCAGACTATAATCTATCTCTGTGCCAAATTTCATCCAGATCCGTTCAGCCGTTCTGGCGTGAAAGACTAACAAACATCCATAGGTACATACTCACAAACTTTCACATTTATAATATTTATACATTAGGTAGGTAGGTATGTCATAGAAAATGAGAAAATAATATGTACATATTTCTTTGAATATTTGTAATATGTAATACGTAAATTAGTATTGTTATTAACAATACTAATTTAACCCTTCTTCATTTACTGGGCATGGACATCCCGTTAATACTAGGAGCCTAGGAGGTTTTCAGATTTAGGAAGTCCATCACGCTAACTCAATACAATCGTTTGAAAAGTAGTTAAGTGCTTGTAGTCTTAAGTTTTCTTTTGATGTTTTCATTCACAAAATAGGAAAAGATAATAATGATGATACCTAGTCACTTTTAATTAAAAACGGTACAACGATTTTCAAATCTATAAGGAATAATTTATAATGAATTTATATGGAAAGTCTTGTGATATATTTTCTGAATTCTGAAAAAAAAACAGTAATACTATTTACGGTTTTAAACCCATTTTATTTTATTTTTTAAAGCGACCATACGACCAAAATACCTACTATCAGTGACCATTTAACTTTTTATACAAAGATTAATAATTATTAATCGGAAGTAGATAAATTAAAAAAATATTTTTGATAAAATACTTATTAGCGCCATCTCTTGAAAGTTGAAACACATCTTAATCTGACTCTTTATGAATGAAATGAATAGCTTGATAGTTGATACCAACGCCAATCATGATACCATAGGCAATATATTATAGGTCTCTCATAATACTTACTAGTTACTATTGCATTCCAAACAATAGATGGCGTCTCAGTCGGTGATATTTGACAAATCTAGGTTGACAACACAAAAAGAGCGAAATGTCATATTCCGTACATCCCAACGGCTGTCCGACAGCAGTTTTGGTGAATAAATAAAATACGTCACACTAAATGGACAGCATTTAAATTTGCATTCGGGTTGAACAAGAATCTGCGACCTTGCGTTGAGACGACTATTATTGTAATTTACTATTACGCCCGGTACCTAGTTGTTTACATATTGTACGGTGAAATAGTGTCGAACGCGAAGCCGAGCGGTATGTTGGAGATCTGTTTTATGAAGCGTAGAAATAAACCGTAAATTCTTAAATAAAGTGACACGAAGGCTTCACCGTTTGAACTTGAGTTGAAATGACCTTACGTTTGAGTAAAGGAATCGACCCACGCCGTCTAATAAAGACTCCTACGCGGCGCCAATGATGCGAACTGCGTCGTCGCTGCGAGACTAAAAAAAACTACAATAATGAGAATAAAATAGACAAAATACAAAAACTTTCGAATTGTTAGTCGTCATATTCCTGATGTTTTTTTTAGTTGCAGTGTAATTTAGTGTAAGTGTACAGTTTTGATGCTTTCATTGCTAGTGAGTGTGTGGACATTGTTACATCTGTTATATTTTGTCAACAATCAAGGCTAAGCCTGTTTAAGGGAACAAATTACTACTGTTCAGGAATTTCTTAACAGATGGTATGAATAATTTTATTCTTTTATTTAAAAAATATCTACACTCTAAATATTTTCTTATTATGTTCCACAACCTGGAATTCTAAAATAATAAATGGAATACTTCCTAATAGGAGCCTGGTAATAAAAATATATATGCTTAATAGACTATACTTAATACTATTAATTACACAGTACAACTACTACATGAGTAGTCAATAATTTAGACTTGTTGTCTGATAACAGAGATAAAAATATAACATTTTTTACTCACTTTGATAATTTTTATTATGAATATATAATAAAATTTGTGTACCTTTTATACTCACACACCTTAATGCCTTTCCAGGTACACTAGCAAGTAAAATGGATTCCAATAAGTATCATTCCAATTAAATTTCACTGTTATCAGATCTAAAAATTAGGCAAAATAAAGAAATCAGTAACACTGTTGTGTTACAAGTCGAGAATGGATGAAAATGATGTCATCATATCTTCCACAGAAGTCATAAAAGGTAATACTTCTTTCTCCTTTATACTACTACCTAAAGTAAATTTATACTGTACTTTCTTGACAATTGAAAAAAATATATATATAAAAATATATAATATAAGAAATTATTTATATAGACATCTATTATAATATATTTATGCTACATAATCTTATTTAAATACTATGTTAATAATTACCAGGCTATGGATACAGGTAACTTACACGTTAAGTCAAGATATATTAGGCAACTTTTTTCCTTTTGAGAAAAAACTATTTTCATTAGGTTAAACTAAGTCTTTAATTATTAAAATGAAAGTACAAACCTCAACAAGTGGTTTACAAACAGTATATTAAATGTTTCATTTGATAAGATCCATATAAGTATAGATTATTTAAGTAATTAATGTTGTGGTTAAATGTGGTGAACTTGGACATGATATGTTCAAAATAAATTACAAATAATATACTATCAATAATTCTATCAAATTAAATTCTAAATCAGAAAGTACTTTACAATCTCGTTCAATTCAATTCCTTTGTTTCGTGGCTTGTAGGAGTGCCATTTGGGCATAATTTAATATACTATCTTGTTAATAAAACTCCTAACACTGACTGACAAGATACATTGTACAATTGTCATAGTGGCATTTTTGAGGAGATGAAAAATATATTTTTTAAGCTAGAAATAGATATATAAGGTATTTTATTTTACTCAAAAATATTTTGCCAATGTGAAAAAATGTTGGTATTTTTTACTCATCAAGATATTTTAAAATAATCGGGAACCAAAAATCAAAATAAATCTTCAAAATAATTCTCAAAGATAGTTTTATTGTAAAATGTCAAATATTGGCGTAAATCTAAGAAATTATCATCATATAATTACATATTCAACGCAGAATGTGGTCATGGTATGGTATGGTATGTTCGGGCTATTTTCCGCAACTCGACGACTGTGCGCCTATTTTGCGCGTGTGGGAATTTAAATTCTTGTTACTCTTGCCATCCCAGTTCCTCCAGGAAGTTCAGCAACCTCTTCGTCTCGCCGAAAATTTCCTCAAAATGTGGTCATTTAAAGATATATAATTTTTAAATCTTTACAGAAATGAAACATATAACATATACATTAATTCTTAATTAAATTAAACAAAACACATCAGTTGCGCTCATTCCTCAAGTCACTTTCAAATTTCATTTTTACTTTATTAAATGATGTGTCTATCCATTCTTTCAATTAATAAAAAAGAAAGGACCTATTTCAAAATGTTAGCAACTTAATTGTAAAATCTGAGATTTTTGTATATTTCAGTATACAAACATGCTTTCACCTCGTTTCTCATTTTGATAACTGTTAATTGTTGTAGCAATTTGATCAAATTTAATAATACTTGAGTACAAGAGGTGTGAGAATAATATTTTTTGAGCAGTGGTAGAAATATTTGGTACTTTTAATTTTGATGTATATGATTAAAAATACACGGCAATAAAAGGCAGCGGTAGCCCAGTAACCAGTAACGCGCTCGCTTGGGAAATCGAGTGAAGCGGGTTCAAATCCCGCGTCTCGCACCTCTGATATTTTCATGTGCGAATCATTTCTAACATGATAACCACTTGTCTTAACGGTGAAAGAAAACATCGTGAGGAAACCTGCATGTCTGAGAGAACTTAACAAGTTTTCGAAAGACATGTGAAGTTAGCCAATACGCACTTGGCCAGCGTGGTGGATGGTCCTGATCCCCCTCGTATTGAAGGGAGGCCCGTGCCCAGCAGTGGGACGTTGAATAGGGATGAATAGATAAATAGATAGAAATACACGGACCTCTTGGTCAATGCGAGGTCCCCCTCTGGTAGGCAGCTATTTCATCATGTTGATCAAATGCGTGTTGGCAGTTTATGTGTCTTTAAAAACTTCTTGATTTCCTCACTCTAAGGCGAATACATTATCACCACTGCTTTACTTCTGCCTGAGAAAAATGCTTAGGCCAGTTTAAATTAATTATATCAAAGATTCTAAAGTATTGTACAAAATAATGCGTAATAATGTTAATGGTAATTTGTTAATAACACAAAATTAATAGGTAGTCGTTAAAACACCATAATAAATTAATTAATATTTATACATCGACATGGTACGTCTATGATAATAATAGTTACTGCACACTGTAGATCTTTATGCTGATAAAACGACGGGCACGTATCTATATCCACTAATATTGTAAAGAGGCAGAGTTTGTTTGTTTGTTTGAACGCGCTAATCTCAGGAACTACTAATCCAATTTGAAAAATACTTTTTGCATTAGATAACTCGTTTATTCAGGAAGGCTATAGAC